GGGGATACGCCGAAAAACACTCCGGCGCCCTTCTAACTTGTCTTTCTTTGTTCCAGGAATCTTCCTTAGCCTTACTGGATCGTTCCGTTGATCCACGAGGGTCTCCCATTACCGTTCCAGGTTACCACCGGACCTCGTAGGCTGTTTCAAGCAGCAGGGTTGATCATTCGACTGACTCCCTTGAGTTCACCAAGGGAGAGATCTGTTCTCGTGTTTATATTGTGCAAGATCCAGCATGCACAGTTCCCTACAATTTTGTTGCACGATTTTAGACAATTAATCCATACGAAAACCATCCCAGTGTCTACCTCTCATTGCTGGTTTCTTCTCCCTTTCTTTTTTCCACACACCAGCTTCACTGTTACACACCTTATGTTTTGAAGTTCCAACATTATTTACCCTTGATGTTGCTTTTCATCCTTATGATGATTTAAATATCAAAACCCTAAGTTAGCAATTTATTTTCGATAAATGGAAAATACTTTTTGAAAGGGAAAGGAAAGCAAACCAACTTAGCGAGCTAGCAAGGCAAGGCTCATTGCCATTTGCGAACTCACGCCGTAGGCAACAAGGGAAAAGAAGACAAGAAAGAAAGTAAGGGGAGACAACGTCCACAAAGAAAGGTGTAGAAACTGTGATAATTAGGAAAATACAATTTTCCAAACAGGAACAACCGAAAAAATTATTGTTCTAAAAGAAAATGCTCTCACAATCCGAGAGAATAAGTCATCCTTCTTACATTCAAAGAAATTAGGAATAACATTTTCCTTTTCACAAAAGAGTATATTGAATTAGACAATTAGACGCCCCTCACAATCCAAAAGAAGTAGACATGACTCTAAACACTCCTAAGGAGACTTCTCTTCTCCCGCTTTGGTTGGCCAGTTTATCTTGACTTTAAGCGGGGAATTACAAAGTACATGTATTCAAACTAGACATATACCCCCATTTGTTCTTGAATCTCTCATTAGGAGAAGGCTTTCGTTGAGTTTTTTGCTCCTCTCGTCTTGACGAGCTCTGTATAGAATCTCAAGGATAATTTAAGTAGTAATAGAGTCGAGTTATAAATTCAGACGTCCTAAATTCGAATCTTAGTAACCTCTTAAATCAGGTTATAAGAAAATTATTTCTTATAAATACCCTCGCTCTGGTGTGAATGAACTGCTTTTGACCAAATCAAAAAAGAAAAGTAATCGAAATATGCGTAAGCTGACGTAATTTCAATTAATAACCGATTGTCAATCATCATCTCATAAAATGCCAATTTACTTGAAGATAAATTAGTTTTTACAAAATCCCAAAAATGAGTGCCAAAAGTTCATAATATAGCTCTAAAAGTGCTAATAAGTGCAATCATGGTTTTTTTCTAGTGAAATGTTAGGGTTCTAGAAAGTAGGTTTTTTTTTTTTATTTAATATTTTTATGCCAAACAAAATGTCAGCATAACTAAATGTATAAAAGGGAAACAACACTTTACCCCTAAAAAGAGGAGCTTCTGTTTCACACCTTAGTATAAAGACTTAAAGAGAGTGCAAGGAGTGAACTTTAAGAGTTTGGTTGAAACCATTGATTTAATTAGTGGTGTTGTAGTGATTTCTCTTCACCAACCATAATTTATCAATCCCTAACCAACAAAAGTTCTAAAAGGTAAGCTGTGGTCTTCTCAGAATTGTTTGTGAATGTGTGGGTGAAAGAGAGAGAGAGAGAGGTTGGAGGGGGGTCGGTGTCAAAAGGTTAAGATCATTATAGGATCCCCAAGGATCTCCTTTTGCTGGTTACGCTAACGCGTATTTTATATTTTATACTTTCCACATACAAAAACATGGTGGTGACATGGGGAGATGGAGAGAGAGAGAGAGTTGGTCTCAACACCGCCCCAGCTCTGCCCGAATGTTTTGGCCCACAAAGAATTTCTAGTTGGACGGTAATTTTCGATATGACAGGAAGCCACGTGACATCAAACAGAGTATGACATGCTAAAATCGATAAATGACGGGATGTGATAACAAGATTTATAAACTAGTTACATCAGCATTAGCACTAATAACTCAATTTTAATTAGATAAATACATAATTAATATTGTTTTTTTTTAAAAAAAAAGGGGTACTTAGTATTGCAAGAACAATGATTGCGATCAATTCTTATTCTGATGTGTATCACTTAATTTGGAATTAGAGAGTTGGTTTTGATAGGATTTAGGTTATTCCCTTAAGTCACTTTACTTATGATTAAAGATAGATAAAATTGTGTTGCCTAAATTTGTTTATCAAATATTGTATTTTAAATGAGGTGTTAAAATTTTATGCATTGAATATTCGGTATAATTAATAGACTCCGTGGATTTAACCACCCACATTTATTTATGATACAAAATTTGATAAATAATTTAATCAACATAGCATGACTCATTAAAGATAGAGATTGGGCAGGCACTGATGGCTCATTTAGTAGACAACGAACGAGCAGCAAGTTACGACTTTTACAACTAACAAACACCTATTCCTATCAAAAAAAAAGGTAGTAAACAAAATTTTTTGATCAAATACTAACCACTTACTCTAATAAAATTTGAAGAAGCGCGAGTCTTTATTAAAGAAAGTCATTGCGTGCTAGCCCGTATAACATTTTGGGTCAAAATAAGTTGTTCAAAAAATGTTATTGGAACCAAACTGGAAGACTTAATTTAGGAAGTTATATTCAATTACAAGTAGACTCCATCTATTATTGAAACTCACAATTAATTCAAGCGCAATGTTATTGGGACCTAATTTGTTGACTTAATTCACTATAACTTTTGGATTAACTGTGGGCTCTAACAAACATTAGAACTTGATGTTTATTCAATGGTTCCAATGAAATCACGTCATTAGGTCAGTAAATTATGTCAAATTTTTAGGTCTAAATAGCATTTTCCTTAATTCAATGATTATATTAAATTAAATCCATCATTCGGTCTTATAGGATTGCTCAATTTGTTTTAGCCAATTGAACAAATTAGCCTAAGATTGTTTAAATCTTAATACACATAAAAAATGACCTCACAAGAACCATTAACTTAAAATGATTCAATGATTTGGTCCGGCTCATGATTTGATGCCACGGCCGACGCCACCGTCCTACATGATCAACGGCGTACACTAGCCATCGACGGTCCCCACAACCTGCCTCAACTTCATCTTATATCATTGAAAAAATGTTATGGTTAATTACAAAATACCCCATTCAACTATAGATAATTTGTCATTCACTCTTTTAGATTTTAATTTTAACAAATAATTTCTTTTAAGTTTGAAAATTTTACAATTAAATTTAATAGTTAATTTTAAATCATAAAAAATGACAAGTTAGAAATTAGAAATTCATCGTATCTCTACTTTGCTGAAAAGATCTAATAAACCCAAAAAAAAATGTATGAACATGTGCATGTGTGTTGGTGTTGGGTGGAAGTACTGGTAAAGGTGAAAGCAAACATGATGTTGAGTTTTAGTGTGACTCTGAACGAATATATTTTTATTTGACTTTTTCGTTTCCTTATTTTTTAGGGTAAAATTAATATCTCATGCAAAAAAAATATGGAAAATAATTTATAAATAATCACTCTTGTCAGTCAATTTAGTTCACTTAAAACTCGAAGGGGACAAACTGTAACATTGAAAATCATAGGGAGTTGATTGTAATAAGGGCATAATTGGAGGGGAAAATTATAATTAACCTAAAATATTATTAGGGCTTAATTTGGTGACTTAATTCAATACAGTCATAGAATTAAAATTGGGCTTCATTTAATATTAGAACTCACAATTAATTCAATGATTTTACGTCTCTAATTAGTTTTCAATTTTATTTTGAAAAATATTATTTAAACCTAATTTGAAAACCTAATTCAATACAACTATTGGATGAGAAGTGAATTTCATCTAATATTGAAATTCACAACTAATCTAATAGTTATATTGAATTAGCTCCCTATATCACTGTTTTTTGTTTTTTTACAAAACTCCCCTTTTTTTCAATAATATTACATGTGTTATTCTTATGCGTGCATACAAAAAATTATACAATTGTTTTTTATTTTTAAAATTCTCCACCTTTTGAAAAACTCAATTGTGTTTCACTAGGGTGTCTCTAATTAGTAGGTGTTATTTGCTAACATTTTTTCAAGTAATTTTATTTTTTTAAATACATTTTCTATGCAATATTTTTTTTTATTTGAGTTTGATCTATTCTTATATTTAAAACAAACGAATATTGATGTATATATATATCAACATATCACTTATATGCTAAGACTAACGAAATCATTTATTAAAAATATTAAGTGTATTTCCTAAAGTAGCTCCCAAAAATAGTGTTATTATTCCAATCAAGCAGATTAAGTTGGCACTTTAAAATAGGAGACCATGACATCAATTATCAAAACATAAAGAGGGTAATTGTGTAAATTTAGCTATTGCACTGATAAATAATAGAATGCCACACAAATGACAAAAAACTTAGAATTTATAATACCAAACCAAAATCCCCGTTAGAAAGCCTTTTTGACCAGCATTCGTGGCAATATATAGGTTGCGTGACCCAATATTAATTGTTCAATAATTTCTTACAATGCCAATTAACTAATTACAATAAATTAAATTTTCATATTTATATTCTCAAATTAAGTTTCCATAATATTAGTCGTAATTGTTTCAAATGGTTGAAAACTAGGTTTTTGAACATAATATGTGTTGGATCAGAAAGAGGCACCACTTCAATTTTAAGAATAATTCAAGTGATAAAAAAGATAAATCATAAATTCAGTCGTTTTAAGTTTACAACTTAGTAATTCTTTAATTTTCAAAGAAGAGAGAAGGAGACGTTTCATTAGGAAGCTAGACAATGACGTCACCAATGGGGACAACAATCAACCATGCGCAATTGAGCGGTCCTCTCCTTCCTTCCTTTTCTTTTTATACTTGTCTTGCTCCGTATGGACTTGCTTCTACTCTCTCTCTCTTTTCTTTTTCATAGTCCCATCGTCCTCTTCACCTCTTCTTCTTCTTCTTCATTTCTTCTGTCGTAAACGAATAATTTCAGTCTACATCCAACAACTAGCTCCCTCAGGTAAGCTTTGCACTGCATGCATGAGCAACTGACTAACCCTAATTAAGGATATTTCTTATTCCATAGATGCTCATGGAGTCATGGGTTATATTTGTTAGCCTCTCTAGTGGCCCTCTCTCTCTCTCTCTCTCTCTCTCTGAAGTAGAAGTTTGCCAAAGGATCTATAATTGCTTACCTCAAAGAGGAGCGATGCACCATTCAATTTACCTTTTCAAATGGTTTTCTTGGTATGGTTGATGACCAATATTTGCCAATCTCTCTTTCTCTCAGCTTCTCACTCCCACCAGCACACATAATCAGGCTATAAACTCAGTAAAATGGACCTCCACCTACATAGTCCATACCCAAGTTCCAATGTTCCATGATATATATGACGAAAATCCAACCCTCAGTCTCTCTCTCTCTCTCTCTCTCCCCGCGCGCGCATCTGATTATGAATCTCTTTAACTCGAATGAAGTTTGAGACTGTTAAATTATTTCAGTGTTAGGGTAAAGTAGAAAACCCATGTATATTTTGCCTTTTGGTTAGGCACTATCTTTTCTATACTTCTCGACCTCTGGACACAGTTAGCACTTTCTATAAGCCAATCAGAGAAAGATATCAGATGTGCCACGGAAATTCCAGACAAAAAGACAAGAGGGTCAGAATCCATCTCCCAAATGAAACATACACCCCTGCAAAACCCTTCATTTCTCTTCTTTTTATTCCCTTTCTGGCAGGCCTAATCACTGAAACGGTGCCCTTTTTTTTTCTCTCTACGTACCCTTTTTCTCTTTCAACCAACGCATGCTAATTAGTGATAAACTTGCCCACCTCTTCCATTCCATTTTGGCCACTGCAAGGCTGAACATTCTCCACAAAAATTCTCAATGACAAAACCATCGATCTTAATTAATCATCTAGCAATTCAATTCCAAATTTTAAAACAAAGAGTATTCTTAATTAGTTCCAAATTCCAAAGTCAGTCCTATGAAAAGAATCATTTTGCAATATTTTTTACCCTTCAAAATTTCTGGTTCATTTTATACATATACATGTATTTAATCATTTTTTTTAATCGTAGGATGAAGACCTAAATTCTTGATGCATCATCCCAACCATTCACCAACAAAAGACATTATGATTAGCACAAACCTCTACCTGTCTGGTTCTCTACACCCCCTCCATATATAACACAAGAGCATAAGCTCCAAGTCTCTTGGTTTTCATAAAAAACAAAGCCTCATCATTCGGGTTTCTTTTCCTTTCCATCTCTTCCTCTTCTTTCAACCCCATAAAAATCATTTCTCTGAAAAAATGGGTTTTATATATATGACACGCGCTTATTTACTTTTATAATAATATGTTGAGCGTTGCTCGACACCAACTGAGTTGATGATTATATCTGATAACACTTGTCAACTTTTGATTCATAAGGTTCATTATTTCTTTTGAAACCGCCCTCATTATAGCTTTTCTAGTGGTACAGTGCTTTGGTTTCTCTTCTCTTTATATATGTTGGTTATGATTTAAAGATGATGGAGGAAAGGAATTTGATGGTATTGGTGGTGAATTTGATGCAGTAAGAAGAAGGTATGATGGACACTATGGAGTCTTGCGTCCCACCAGGTTTCCGGTTTCATCCAACAGACGAGGAGCTAGTTGGGTATTATCTGAGGAAGAAGATTGCTTCACAGAAGATTGATCTGGATGTGATCAGAGACATTGATCTGTACAGAATTGAACCCTGGGATCTTCAAGGTAGAATTAATTTCCTTGTGCTTCCTTTTTTCTTCTTTAGGGTTTCTGTTTTATGATACTGGGGAGAATCTGTCATGAGTCCAGTTTAGCTTGGATCTATCAGCATTAGGATTAATCAGTAAACCATGAAATTCTCAAGGAAAACCTAAATGGCTGTAGTACTTCCCCCTTTCCCCTCTGGTTGGAATTGTTAGACTCTGATCTTATAGACAAGCTGGATTCAAACCGAACCTGGCCTATTCCAATTTTTATATACAAGCCCTCTTTTATTTTCTTGACTTCATGATTTATGATAAACATGGGATGTGAGTTCGAACAATATACGCATGTGAGCCAGATGAAAATGATCCCACACAGGAAGGCCTCATACGCATAGATTGGAACAAACCATTGTGAGATTGCTTAAATTTTTGAGTCAAATATTTTCTTTTCCTAATGGTATTCTGGTCAAAATAGAGTCCAACTGTATATGAGACCAGATTATAACGGATGTAAGCTTTCCAGAAGGTCTAGTTCTGAGAATGTTGGCTGGAAGCTAGTTATTGTTTCTAATAGTAAGCACCTGTTTATACTTTGAAAGACAAATGGATGATGATATGAATTGTTATGGACAGAGAGATGCCGGATCGGATACGAGGAGCAGAACGAGTGGTATTTCTTCAGCCACAAGGATAAGAAGTATCCAACTGGGACAAGGACCAACAGAGCTACGATGGCTGGGTTCTGGAAGGCTACTGGGAGAGACAAGGCAGTATATGATAAATCTAAACTCATTGGCATGAGGAAAACCCTCGTCTTCTACAAAGGGCGGGCTCCGAATGGGCAGAAAAGTGATTGGATCATGCATGAGTACAGGCTCGAATCAGAAGAGAATGGCCCTCCACAGGCAAGAATTCTTGCATTCCTTTCCTTCTTATTTGATAGTCTCTTTTTCTAGTTACTACATGGTTACTGCTCTTTCTTTGGGACTACCAAGTTATCTTCATGGATGGTTAAGAAAACTCTCTCTCTCTCTCTCACACACACACACACATACACACAAAAGCACACACAAGGTGGTATTGAAAGGTAGAAATTTTCTCTCAAGATCACCTGGCATGCCAATTAAGGAATTACTTTCGATAGCATCTCTAGACGGAAGAATGTGCAAATTTTTTCACATTACTGTGCGTGGAAAAAGTATGCAATCACTTACTTTCAGTCCAGAGACTTTATTTGTTACTCTCTCTGAGTATGTGCCAAAAAAATTCTTCCAAAATCCTAACTCTATACAATATGTTTTTCAGTTTTAATATATTTCCCAAGGACCTTTTTTTCAACTTGTGATGTACGGAATCACTTGTGCTTCTTATGCATATTCAGTTATCTACAGCCTTACTGTGTATGTTTGGAAAAAGTTTAACTTCCATGAATCCACCGTCTCTAAGTCAAAATTGATTACTTTAAAGCAAAAGAAACGATCTCTTTGAAGTCTTTTTTTCTAGTGAGCTTTCACTAACTCAACTTGTCAAAAGAAAGATTCCTATTCTCCTCCTACTTCAATATACCTTTCATTACCACCTTCTTTTCACCAACCAGACAGAAGACTTACAAACAACAAAAAAACAAAAGACTTTAAGACAAAAAACATTCCTTAATTTAACTTTATGAGTATATATATAGATAAATACTTATATTATATTTCTCTCTAAAATCTTAAATTGTTATGGACCGATATAACATAAATATTTATCTAATATTTTTCCTTGCGGGTGAAGTCTCGTGGATGGTTGTTCACGCAGTTTTTTTTCATCACTTTATCTTTTTGAGTAATTAAACGTTTGAGAGTATGTCATTTAGAAACTTATGAAAAGATTAATGGAAATACGGCTCCTCGACATTACTAATTATGGTGGTCAAGCTCTTGCAGGAAGAAGGATGGGTGGTATGTCGAGCATTTAAGAAGCGATCCACTGGCCAAACAAGGAGCATTGAAGGGTGGGACTCGACCTATTTATATGACGAACCAAGTGGTATAAGCTCGGTTGTGGATCCAACTGATTATATTGCAAGGCAGCCCTCAAGCTTTCTAGCTCAGAACTTCATGTGCAAGCAAGAAACAGAAGCCGATAATTCAAGCTTCGTGAATTCAGATCAATTTGTACAGCTTCCACAGCTAGAAAGCCCATCCCTTCCATTGATGAATAGGCCGAGCTCAATTTCTCTGATATCACACAACAATGAGGAAGAAGATCACATTAGAAGGGCCAACAACACCAAGAAAGTGACTGATTGGAGGGCCCTCGACAAGTTTGTTGCTTCTCAGTTGAGTCAAGAGGACAGATATGAGGGCGATGGAGTATCAAGCTTTGAAGCACATAATGAATCAGATATGGAGTTGCTGTTGTTGCAAAGTGGTAGGGAAGAAGGGACCAAGTTAAATGGGTTCTTGAATTCGAGCCCGGACAATGATATTGGAATTTACATATTTAATAAATGATGAGAGTAGAGACTAAGAGTGTTTTAGTAATAAATGTTTTACTGATTATGGATCAATGGATCTTTGAACATGTTTTGTACACATAACTACATAAGGTTGTGAATTGGGTAAAAAAGTCTATTTTACTGTGTGTTTGTGCATATAGAGATAACTTGCTGAACTAACATCAAACTGATTTTCTTCAGTTGCGAGAATGAACGTTGTGTTAGTACTTTTGGCAACATTTGGAATTAAGTGTTGAAATATAACTGAAAATTCATTTATATATTTGAATAAATAAATCTTTCTACAAACTCGGGATCTGTGATGGAGACCTGGACCCCGAGACTCAAACCACCCCAGAGACCTGGGACTCGAACCCTAGACCCAACACCTGGGACCATAGACCCAGACCCTAGACTCGAGACCTAGACCCAGAGGTGGTGGCGATGATTGCAATAGTGATGATGGATGGTAGAGGTGTACCTAGGGCGGTGGTCATTGCAGTGATGGTCGATGTGGTGGTTGGAGATGATAGTGGTAACAAGAGGTTGTGATAGTAATGGTGGTTGTAGGGTGGTGGTGATGGTAGTGTTGGTTAGGGGTTCTAGCGGTGGTGGAAAAGAGTGTGTGTGTGATACCCCATACTTGGGAATCACTAATTCTTATGGAATTAGGTATGCCATGATAATGAAAATTTTTATTACTGCGAACAAAATGTTAAAATGAGAATCACTCAGTGATTAATGTTTTCATTCCCGTTATTGCATGTCAAACACAGTGTAAGAACTGTGATCCTAATGAAATTGATCCTACACACAGGTTCATGTATAGTTTTAGAATCTTACTTAAAATATGAGTTGCAACGAATGAACTTATGACATAGACAACATTTTTGAAAAGCTCTAACGTGTGTGTCTGTGTGTGTGTGTGTGTGAGAGAGAGAGAGAGAGATATAATATATGAATGTCCAAAATTATTTTTTTGTTTTACATTCCCTATTATTTCACCTGCTTGCTTTGTTTTTTTTTAATAATTTTTTTTTATTTTTTTGAAGAGATGGGAGACTTAAACCCTTGACAAGAAAGTGCATGCTTAGTTTGATTTTTCGTTATAATTATAACTGAAAAAAGGTTTGCTCAAATGCAGGCTATTTAGCAGGTTATGTTCGTAGAGAAAGTGCATACGAAGTGAGAGATTCGACGATCAAACTTTAAAAAACAGCTTTTTCTATTTGATCAATCCTGGCTAAACTCTGCATGCACATGTTGAGGAATGAATTATTCTGACAAAACTTTATGTAGTTATCATCCTCAGTTCAATTTGAACTTCTCTTCTATAATGCCTAAACTATATTACCATTTTATAAGACTCGAGGAATTTTATCTGATCATAATTTATTGATTTAATTAATTATAATTATTGAATTTATGGTGAACCTCAGTATTTGTTATGATAAATTAAATCAATATGCCAGCAAAGATCCAAATATAATATTATTGCTTAGACTCTTGTCGGCATTGACAGGTGGTTTTCAAAAAGTAACTTGCAAGAGGATGACTATTACTCCAAGACCGAAGGTGAATCACGTCATCAATCTTCGAGTGCTTCTCATACTAATTTTTTTTTTTTTTAATTCAACATTCAAGAGTATTCGGGTCAATTTACATATACCTCAATTAATTTTTTTTGATCCGATCAAAGACAGATCATTCACGTCGACAAATTTTAAATATATACCGCATAACAAAGTTATGTATTGTCTACATCATAATAATAACTTTTCATACAAAGGAGTTGGCTTTTTTAAAAGCTTTTATGACAAATTTATGAGTGATAGCAATTCGTTGGTCACGTACAGTAACTAACATATGATGTACACCACTTGGCTCTGTTACCTACACACACAAAAATTTTGTAATAGTAAATGCTTTCTCAACACAATTTCTTTAAGACTAAAAAATTAGTATAATATTTTATTTAGTAGGAAAGATAGAAAGTAAGGGGAATATATTTTATATCCTTCAAAGAAGGAAAATAAAAATGATACATTTTTATTCCTTTGTATTTGGTAGGATGGATGAAAAATAAAAATAATTAATTTTTTTTGTGCTTGGTAAGATGAAAAAAATATATTTTTTAATTTTTAAAAATTTTTATTTTTAAATTTATTAAAATATATAAATAAATATTTTATCATTATATTTATATTTGAAATTAACGTATACATAATATTTTATCATATCACTCATTTTTATCACATATTTAATCATTTAATATTTGATTAATTTGTAGTTTAACATAATTTTTATTTCAAACATTATCCAATACTATACACATGCTGAAAAATTTTAATATAGTGGGATTGATTTTTTGGGCACTCGAATTTTATATTTTATCGTACCTTTGGGCGCGAGTTATGACTAGTATATGTATATATCAAATGATATATAGACAAATAAGATATATTTCAACAAAAATAATTAACTTTCCATTCACTTTCTTTCCAATTTTAGAGGGATTGATTTTAGTGAGTTAAAAGGAAAATTCATTCATCCACTTTTTCTTCCTTCCTGTTTACCTTTCTTACCAAACATGATATTTTATTTATTCCTCCAACTTTTCATCCTTCAAACTTTTTATCATTTTTATTTTTTTATCATATCAAACGGAACATAAGAGCACAAGTTAAGAGAGGGGTAGAAAACGCAACATAAACAAAGTGCATATGATGGTGTAGGGAAGATTGCTAAGAAATGAGTATATAATCCATAATGTCACTTATATGGCCATAATACTTCATTCAATTCAGTCTTAATTCTATTCAGAACCCTAAGGTCATATGTATATTTCTTGTTAAGTCTCATTTAATAAGCATTGTGATTCTGTCAGTCCATTGTTGTGTCTTCTTTTCTCTAATCTTAGTGTATTTTAGCAAAAAGCAGCACAGTTATTCATATGATAGAGTAGCATTGGTTGGCAAATGCCAATGATAAGAAAAAAAAGTATTTTCACAAAATAATATTGTTTGAACTTAATTTATTAATTAAATTTATCGATAAAATACATAGTTGCATTAACAATAGATATGAACATTGACCGAAACTCACTGTTACTCCAATAATTGCAGTGAATTCGATTTAATAAATAAATGGAGTCAATCTTCGATGGAGAAGAAACAAGACAAACTATTAGGACCAAGAGAAAGCCATTGAATGAATTGAACATGGGTAAGCATGAAAGCGTCAATGTCTGCTTGGGTGGGCCCATGATTTGTCTAGCATGCGTTTGGCTTCGTGGCCTCTGTTTGCCATGCTTTGTCTCTAACTCTCCATGGAAACTATGACCCCCCCCCCCCCCCCCCCCCCCCCCCCCCCCCCCCCCCCCCC